AGTGAATGGCCACATGGAGGAAGGTGTTTTCTGTAGCGCTCGTCTCTGCAGGGTCGGTATTATAGGAGCCTGAAAGCGAACACAAGCAGCTGTAATCCCCGGGAAGCTGCAGTGGCGGGAGTACAAGGTGCTGGAGGGAGATTCGTCCTCCTGAAAGCCGCATGATTGACGCCGTTATTGTTGTGCTCTTCTGGGTCTTTCATTCCTCTAAACACCGGCGGTGTCCGTGTGCACGCAAAACACACCCGGGGACACACATTTCCTACTACAGCTAACACAATTCCTCATTAGTATTTACATTTTAAGCAGCTACTTGACTACAGAGAGACTTGACAATGACAAGTTTTGTTGCAAAAGCAATTTATCAACATTTTGAACATCTGCAGTGTCCGTCGGCATGACAGAATATAATCCTGCACTGTAACATAGAGGCTCAAGTGTTTACGCTAACCACGCTGTCACCATGTTCCCATTATACATAATAACAGCACAAATCCTTACAATCTGGTGACACAAGTGTCAGCATGTCGTGTGATAACTGGGCTCTATTTGATGTCTTTACTTCAAAAGTGTATTAAAAAGACAAATTTAAACCGGCTGCAGAGGATCGATCGGGATGACCAGCGATACATAATCATTACAGGGCTGCTGATGGGGAGCAATATGAAGACCGATTATCTGACAGCCGACGCAAGCTGGCAGCGAGGGATTGGATGGACGGAGGACACGAGGGGGAAGGGAGATAAAAATCAGATCTGTGTTTGTTTTGACAAACAAACACAGATCTCAGCTGGCACCCAGCTCATCTAATTGGGTCCCTCAGTGGGAAAAGTAAAGATTTTCTTTTTAACTGTTTTTATGAAGCGATCCATCACCTGGTCCATTCCTGTCGCTGCTTGTCCATATGGAGTTCTCACATTGAGTGAGAAGAGGCAGACTCTGTCTTCATCAGGCTGTCAGTAGGATTTCAGGCTTACAAACGTATCACAAAATAAGAGGCATTGTTTTAAAAGGCGCGTCACAAAAGAAACGTGTGTGAGGATTCACCAACAGCTTCACACTACAGCGTGGGGACAATAAGCTAACAAGGTCACAAGTGGTATTATCTTCAGCTTATAAACTGTGAATTCCCCAAAAACAAGGAACAAAACAGGCATTAAAAACCTCAAAAACTGTTAGACAATCCGTCTTTTGTCACTTGATTTTGTCTTACAAACATGGCTACAACAGTATTTGTGTGTGTGT